ATATAAATTATATCATGTCCTTGAGTTTCTAAAGTCCTTGAAAATAACCTTGATTCTGTCATCAATGTTATCTTGAGCCTTTAAGTGATTTTGTTTTGAAGTGTTTTGTTAAAACTGGAGTTGAGGGAGTTTAGGCAAGAAGGAAAGATGCTATCCAGTTGCAATAGGGACAAATTCTTGTTAAGAAGATATAAAGTTGAAAAATCTTGCACTCTACTGCTTTGATTACCTCCACCAAGTATTGGTAGAGGTTGGTTTTTTGGTTATTTGGTTGGTTTGTCAGCAGGATTACGCAAAAACTGCAGAACAGATTTTCACAAAACTCCGTGGAAGGATGGGACATGGGCCAAACCTTTTTTCACAGCAGACATTTTGACTTGTCCCAGCAGGAAAAGAGCAGTTGTGATGTGATAACATAAACAATGGTTCCGGTTTATTCAAGATTTACAGTAAGCCATTGTTCCGGACTCAGTATACAAAAAATGTATATATTTATCTATCAATTATTAACATAATCATTGTTACTGCAGGCATCAATCAGACATTTGAATTTCACTTCACAAATTTCACAAATACACAATTTTTATCTTAAGATTTTATACATTTTGTTTTTGTAGCCGTTTTGCCACCGCCTTTAATTTCAGTGTGTATGCTATACAGTCTGGTATGTGTATGCTTCATTCGGTCACTTCTCCTGTGTGAACACGCTGATACTAAAAACCTGCTTAGATGTAGTGTGTGATATGTCACCATGACAAATATCAGGTTGTCCAAAGCAGCTAAATGATATTCAGTATTATATTTTATTATTTACACCAGTGCCTTTTCCACTGTGATATGTCAAAAAGACAGATTAACTTACTAAAAGCACAAAGACAGGTATTGGAATATAAAAAAATAAGATAAATGCTGTAATAAAAACTTTATCTGAGACTCATAGTAAAACACATTCACACCAGTAGAATATAAGACAGTAACATCTGTGTCTTTCTCTTTTCCAGATTCTATTGGGACCTGTTGATGTTAGTGTTGATGATGGGGAACTTGATCGTCCTGCCAGTGGGCATCACTTTCTTTAGAGACGAGAACACTCCCTCATGGATCATCTTCAATGTGGTCTCTGACACTCTCTTCATGGTTGACTTGGTTCTCAACTTTAGGACGGGCATCGTCAAGGAAGACAGCACTGAGATTTTGCTGGACCCCAGGTCAGTGGAAGCTTTTGTGTGTGTATTTATGTCAAGGGCTGGGGCAGTGTGCATGTTCAATATGGTCTGGAATATCAATACCCAAGCTCCATTGCTATAAATTAGAATGTGCTCTTCTGGCCATCTGCTGGGTTTGTGTTTGCTCAAATCCATGTTCAAGATGTGAAAAGGTGACTCGTAGCCAGTGGCAGAGCTTTGTTCACGTTCCAGTTCTGCTCCTGCTGAATATTGATGAGAATCTTTTTATGCCAGCCGTCTGCTGAAATCACTTCCACAAAGCTGCCCTGCCAAATGAGGAATGTGTGTGGTCTTCCATCCTGTTCTGACTCAGGGCCATCCGCCAGAAATACCTGAAGAGCTGGTTCCTCGTGGACTTTGTGTCGTCCATCCCGGTGGACTACATCTTCCTGATGGTGGACAGTCTGGACTCCGAGGTCTACAGGACGGCCAGGGCGCTGCGCATCGTTCGTTTCACCAAAATTCTGAGCCTGCTTCGGCTGCTCCGCCTGTCTAGACTCATCCGCTACATCCACCAATGGGAGGAGGTGAGAATCAGAGACCGGGGAACAACGGCTGCAAAGAGAGAGCAGAGTCGAAGGGAAAGAGATATTGGTATATTTGTTCATATGTAAGGTATGAATCATCAAAAGGTCTTTTAGGTAAAATCAAACCCATTTTTGAATATTGGACTGATGAGCTGGAGGAAAAGGGTTTTTAAATAAAAAGATATTTTAAGTTAATCTCATCTTGCCTATGCACCCATCCTTTCACTCATCCTCCTTCCTCCACATTTATCATCTCCTCTTTCTCTCCGCTCCTCCTCAGATCTTCCATATGACCTATGACCTTGCCAGTGCCATGGTCAGGATTGTGAACCTGATCGGTATGATGCTGCTGCTGTGCCACTGGGACGGCTGTCTCCAGTTCCTGGTCCCCATGCTGCAGGACTTCCCTCCTGATTGCTGGGTTTCCAAGAATCTGATGGTGGTGAGTCTCCGCACAGCGGTGTGCATGCATGTGGCTGTTATGTTCCAGGCAACGATTATATTTTCTGGAGATCAAAAACAGACATGACGCTCAGTGTGAGCTGAATGAAAGACACAAAGCTCTATCTCAGCTTGTTTGAACAGTGTGCACAATATTGATTTCAGATTAAAGCAAACCACCGGTTCTGAAAAGCCTGGTTCTGGTTAACTGTGTGTTTGCAGAGTGAGGCTGTTTATCTGATTTGACATTGTTTGCTCCTTATCTGTATTAATTGGCTCATGCAGCAACATGTCCAATTGGAGTAAGATTGACTATCACCATTACAAAAATTTAAAAAAAGATTGTCCAATTAAAAAGCTCATCTGAAATCAACAGACGGAGGCCTAGGGACCTCGCCTGACGCCAGTGAATGTGCACAGATACACAGATAGCTGCTGTATGAACAGCTGACTCATGTCTCAGTGGTTGCCTAGGGGACTGTTGCTAAGCAGGCTGATGCTGGGATTTTCCCCAGAGAAAGTCCCCTCATCCGTTGGACCATTCACATCTTAGTATAATTTGACTCACACACAACTTAAATCAAAAGCGTACAGACACACTGAATCACTTAAAGGATGGTCTTTTTATTTGTAGCCTTTGTAAGATTTATTTAATAATGTGCGATCGCTGCCCTTTTATCCTCAGTGTGGTTTTCATACTTCCTGCAGCCGCTCTGTTTTGAAGCAGGTTTCGACAGTGAAACAGTTTTGCTTTACACAACCTCGGTAATTAACACTTGAAACCTCCTTTCCTCTTCCTGTCACCCTCTGTGTCTGTCCCCCACCCACAGAACGACACATGGGGCGTGCAGTACTCGTATGCTCTTTTCAAAGCCATGAGCCACATGTTGTGCATCGGGTACGGTGCACAGGCTCCAGAGGGGATGACTGATGTGTGGCTCACCATGCTCAGTATGATCGTCGGCGCCACCTGCTACGCCATGTTCATCGGCCACGCCACCGCCCTCATCCAGTCGCTGGACTCCTCCCGACGACAGTATCAGGAGAAGGTGAAGCATGACGCTGCTCCGTCTGTCACTTCATCCACTTCTCCGCCAAACCTACTCACAGTGTAGCCATTACACTTCACTCATATAAGCTATGAATAATTTCAGCTTCTATCAGTTGGTGGGGTTGTTTTTTCTATTGTATTATTATTTTTTGAGTTCAGAGCTTCTGAAAGTACATGATGAATTCTTCAGACTACTTGTTTTTTCTGATTAAAATGAGGATAAATTGTGTAAGACCTTTCTGTCAATTGTCAGATCGATTAATTCTTTGACAATCTCTGACCAAAGTAACTACAATCTGTATCGCCATGGTAACATAATGCTCTTTTTGTGCAGTGTCTTTAATTAACTTTTTTAAGTTGAGCCATTTGTTAAACTAAATATAATTGTGTATTGTGTGAATATTCTAAGACAATGAATCAATGCCAATCTGTACGCACAGCAGCAGAGAAGCAAATAGTGCATAGACAAAGAACTTGTGAGATGTATGAATTTTTTCTCTATCGATCCTATTGCATAAATATTGTGTTGTACTACAGAATATCTGTCTCCCTGTACGAGTGTATGTGTGTGCATATGTGACCTGTGCATGTGTGTGTCATTACAGTACAAGCAGGTGGAGCAGTACATGTCATTCCACAAGCTTCCTGCAGATGTTCGTCAGAAGATCCATGAGTACTACGAGCACCGTTTCCAGGGGAAAATGTTTGACGAGGAGAACATCCTGGGAGAACTCAGCGAGCCACTCAAAGAGGTAAAATGAAGTCACCAACGCCCTCACATCTACACACACAAATCATCAGATGCTGCATTCCTGATCCTTCAGCAATTGAGTCAGACTTCCCCTCTCTCGTCCTCCAGGAGATTGTCAGCTTTAACTGCCGTAGCCTGGTGGCTAACATGCCACTGTTCGCCAACGCTGATCCCAACTTTGTGACCGCCGTGCTGACCAAGCTCCGCTTTGAAGTGTTCCAGCCTGCAGACTTCATCATTCGTGAGGGCACAGTGGGACGGAAGATGTACTTCATCCAACATGGGCGAGTCAGTGTGCTGACCCGTGGCAACAAGGAAACCAAGCTGAGTGATGGGTCGTACTTTGGAGGTGAGAGCACAAGTATGGTGAAGAAGAAGAGGAGGTTTTAGGGGGAGGAGGTACTCGAGGTTGAAGATGGAAGATGATGGTAGCTGTTCTGTGGTTTGATTTATCTCACCCTGTCCCTTCCCTTCTCTACACCATCCATTGTCTCTTTCCACATTCAGAGATCTGTTTGTTGACTCGTGGACGGAGGACAGCGAGTGTCCGGGCAGATACATACTGTCGTCTGTATTCTCTCAGTGTGGACAGCTTTAACGAGGTGCTCGAGGAACATCCAATGATGCGCCGTGCCTTCGAAACTGTGGCTGTTGACCGCCTGGACCGTATTGGTAACCAGTGGATTTTCTGATTCCAGCATACGTTTGTTTTCATCCGCATCTTATCTTTGCCATGACCTGCTATTTTTGATTCAGCTCCCTAATTCTGTAGCGAGCTTGAAAAACATTTAATCATCCATCCAATTTCATCCCATTTCTAAGGAGCTTTGTCAAGCTTGTCCTCCACAGAAAGGTCAAAACTTGTCTTTGAAAACAAGAGAGAGAAAATAAAATAATAAAGGATGAGCAATGTTCTTAGTGAGGAACAGAGAAACCTTGAGGCTAAAACTCCAGCTGACTGCTGTGTATTCACTGCTTTATTCTACTTTTCAGAAAGCTACCATTTCAGGAACTTATTTTCTTAACTGAGTCTCAGAATTTGTTATTTGTTATTTTTTCTAATACAGGCAGGAAGAACTCCATGCTCCTGAGGAAGTCATCCCAGGCTGGATCACTGGGGGGCAGCATGGGTCGTGGTGGAGGCCGGGGTGGAGGGGGTCCAGGATCGGGGGGAGGCCTTGCAGCTGGTGGTCTGGGTTCCTGTGACAGCATGTTGGTACAGCAGATTGTCAAACACGACAGCATGCCGGCCATGCAGGACGCCATCGCCGCAGCTGCTGCAGGAAGAAGCGGAGTCATGGGAGGAAGCGGCACAGTGTCTCCTCGGCCACGCCCGGTCATCTGGGCGCCGCTGGTCCATGCTCCCCTCCAGACTGCCGCTGCCACCAGTAATGTAGCCATCGCCCTCATGCACCAGCAGCAGCAACAGCAGCAGCAGCTCCAGCAGTTGCAGCAGCATGCACTCGGAGGAGCTTTCTTCCTGCCTTCCCCTCTTGTCTCTCCCTCTCCCTCTTCTTCATTTCCTCTGTCACCGCCTCGTGCTCCTGTGTTGCAGCCCATGCGCCCCTCTGTGAGCTCCCTCATAGGAATGATGACGATGGGAGGAATGGGTGGTTTGTCCCCAAGAGGGGGATTTCCTGCCTCCCCCTCAGCCATGGGCCCTCCTGGTGGGGTGACATCACCACCTATTGCCAAAACACCACCAACTCCAGCTTCTTCTGTCCCAACATCTGTCCAACAAGGAAGGACTCATCATTACAGCCTCCGTCTCCAGGCTGATCATCCTTCATTGATAGCTGGAACCCCGACAGGAGGAGGACCATCAACTCCACCCCTCCACAAGGTGCCGGCCACCAACCCAGCAGCTGCTCCTGCTGCCCCAGCCGATGGCAACAGCTCTGTGATAGGTCAGCAGGGAGCAAAAGAAGCTCTGTTACGTCATGGAGGAAACAGCTCCCAGGGTCTTCCAGCACTGGGCAGACTCACCCAGGAAGCCAGGCTGCTGTCGGCCTCGCAGCCCACTCTGCCTCACCGCTCGTGGGCTGGGTTGCAGCCACACCCTCCTCTCCACAGGAAGGCCTCGGGTGGTAATTTGTTGGCAGCTCCTTTCCTGGCAGGGCAGTTAGCCAGGGGAAGCAGTGCAGGCATGCTGACCTCCAACGCTCCAGTACAGCTTGCAACAAATCTGTTTCATGCACAAACACAAACACAGGCTACAGTTCCCATTCAGTCCATTCTTCCACAGGCTACCCCTCCAAACATGGGCATCTACGCACAATCTGCACCTCACACTGCCTCCGTACCCACACCTACCGCTGTACACCTGCCTTCTCCGGTTTCTATGCCCTCTCCCTCCCCTCCGAAGCAAACCCCACTCCCCTCTGCCACCCCTTCACCTGCACCCACCCCTTCATCTCCAACCTCCATCCTCTCCCAAACAGCTCGCCCAAAACCAATCCCGATGCCCCCCTCTCGCTCCTCCTCTCCACCTCCCTGCTCCACTCCGCCCTCAGCCGGAACAAGCCCTTTGTCGCTTTCCTCGACTCCTCGTCCCAAACCCCTCCCTACACCTTCCCCCCGCTCCTCCTCTCCTTCCCCCTCCTCTACGCCGCCTCCTTCCTCTGTCTCCACCCCTGTTCCATTACCTCAACCTTATGGGCCAAAATTATCGCTAACCTCCTCTCCTCCTCCCTCCTCCTTAGTCGCCTTCTCTCCACCGCATCCCCAGAACCCAAGAGCCAAGGCATCCAACACTCCTCCTTCTGCTTCTCCGTTGTCTGGCCTCAGCCCTGCCCCAACCCCAATCCCTTCTCCGATACCTACCCCCACTCAGAGTACCCGCTCCCGTTCCTCTATCACATCCCAAACTTCAACGCAAACCATCACACCTGTCACTCCTACCCAGACCTTTACCCCTACGCCCTCTCCAATCCTTGTTACATCAGTTCCCTCCCTGAGTAAGTCCCAGAGTCCAAACACTTGTGTCCAGCCCTCCGTCTCCAGCTCCGTTAGGGGCCCCAGCTCAAGCCAGATCCCAAAACAGGCCAAAACAGGCCAAACTCCAGCTCCTGCCTCAACACCTGCTTGCACCAGTTCTACTAAAGTAACATTCTCAGTTCATCCTGTAAAGCAAACCCCTCCTGTCCTCTCCTCGAGCCAGAGCTCAGGCTCCACCAAACTGACCACATCTACAACCTCATCCTCACCAACTTTACGCCCAAACCCCGGCTCCACTAACCCCTCCTCTCTCACAACCACCTCTCCATATGTCCCACCTGCCTTGTCTCAGACCCCGAAACAAATGCCAACCACCTCAGCTGCCGCTGCCCACTCCTCAGAACTCAACATGCCCTTTACCCCCGCTCAGACCTCTCAGGCATCTACCACTTCACCCACCCACTCAGCACATACAGCCACCACTGCCAACACCACCTCCCCTAAAGGTGGGAAAAAGGACTCTCAATTAGAACACACCAGAAAAGACTCAGAGGGACTGAGACACAAACTGCCTGCCAACATGTAAGAACGAAGGATGGTGGACTTTAATGAATATGGCTAGTCAAACCATGGATGTACGGAGTTGTCAGAGTTGAAATCACAATGATTTCCTGTGGACATCTTGTATGCATTCACTCTAGGCTGTGATTGTCTTAGAACATCAGGTGTTTATGTGACACTCAACCAAGCCATCGATGGAGGAGAAAGACTTAATGGGGTGTGCTGGCAGGTGCAGGCTGAGGTAAAGTAAAAAAAAAAAACCAAACAAATGTACACATACATATCTGTGTAAGTAATTGTTGGAGCAGGCAAGGGAGCTGAGGTGGAAATATTGCAGCTTACGCAGTAAAACAGGATGCAAGCAATAGCTGATGTGAAAACAGTGATAACAGCAATACATGCGAAACATGGGCGACTCGAATAATGAAACAGGAAATGACACTGACAATAATATTAAACTAGAGAAAATAACCAGCTCTCTGCTGTGAGGAAGGATGTGTATTGTGATCTCAAGATGCAGGCAATAGAGCAGACACTTCCTGATTTCCAGCTCCACCTCCCTCTTGCCTCACATTCCTCACCAAAGTGTAATATTTTCTCATCAGAATAATAATTATTATTATTATTACAAAGATATATATCATTTAAAAAAAACGCTGCAAAGTCGATGCTCATATGACTGAGTAATTAGGAGCAGTCCACTGGTAGTTTTGTTGTCCCAGGTGTGTGGTGTTTAGTTTTTTAACGAAACTTTTAACCCTACATGTTCACTCGACTTCTGTGAATTGTGTTTTTTTGTGTGTGTGACACACGATACTGCTCTACTGTGCACTGTGATTCACTTGATTTAGTTCCAGCCAGCTCCCTGTACTGTAAATACGTGCCTCTCTGTGGGTCTGTTGTATGCTCCCTCACTTCTCTGCCTTTTGTCTCTCACCTCTCATCTGTCTCGCCGCCTTTCATCAGAATTCACAGCTCCGGTCGCTAACGGTTTCTCTGACGCTTACAGACTCTCTCTCGGCTTGCCCGACACTTTGCTCTCCGCTGCCATCAGCCTCATGCTCAATTGGCGGACTCCTCCTTCTGTCACTAGTTTCAGCGCCATTTCCAGTGATGTTTGATGTTTTGTGTGGGTAGCAACAAGGCATTTCTGTCTTAATCCCTGATACCATGTTGCCTAGACTATATTTAAGGACCAAATGTTTTATTTTTTATTTATCACAGCTTTAGCTTTTGAACAGGAAAAAATAGCTAGTAATGCTGTTGAAATGATTATCTCAAGTGGGGCACTGAAGGTGATGACTGTGATGATGATGATGATGATGAAGATGATGATGGTGATATCCCTAATAACCATGATGGTGATGTTGATGAAGATGGTGTATATCTGGATGTAAGAATAAAGCGGATTTCGATATCATCTTGTTGAGTGTGACGAAGCATGAGCCTATTTGTGAAACTGCTTGTGTGTTTCAGGCCTTTGTGTTTTTATAACATTATGTGAGAGGAGATAATACTGGCAACTGTTGATTTATAATTGAACTAAACTCAAATGTTGGTGACTTTTCAGAGGCCTTGAATGTATCAACAGCATTTAACGTCAGGTTTGAAAATTGAATCAATCTTATTATAAATGTTTGTCTGTCTGTTCATCTGTCGATTTTCTCAACAACCCTGGGAGCCTGTGAAGTAAAGTCGACAGTGAAGTTCTTTGAATGAGAAGATCTCAAGAAAGTAGACAGAGATTTAAACTGTAAACTGGACTTACTGCTATAAATGTAATCTTGTTTTGAGACACAGCCAGTAAATGATGTCTTCAGTGACATCATCTAAAGCATAAAAAGGTGATTAATCAAAACTTAACTTCCAAAAAGAAGAATTTTAATGTCCAATGTGTTGCTTCCGCCACTAGGGGTCTCTCATGCAACACAAAAACATAAGACTTAGTTTGATGACGTTGTGAAGCAGCGTGGCATCATGGGAGTTGATGTCCACCTGACGTGACTCAGGTATAAATCATGTTCACTGATGAGGTAATACATAGTTATATCCACATCAAGCAGCAAACAGCAATGAAGAATCTTGATCCATTACAAGTGACCAATACCAACAGTGGACTGGAAAGGACCATGATCAATTAATCAAGTGATTGTTCAGCTCAGGGTCGATAAAAGGTTCTTTTTTGTTTTCCAGCTGAGGAGTCCAGAGAAAACAAGGTGATGAGCAGCTGAGAGCAGAGCAGACAAACCTGAATCTGAACTTGACACACCCTCAGTCAAGTCTTCTGTTCAACAGCAGACAGCATTGTTTCAGTCAGTGTTTGTTCATTCAAACGTGTACACTTGCCTCTCTGTAGTTGTGAGGACACTCATATAATGCTCCCTAACTCTAACTCTTAACTAAATACTTAACCTAAACCTAATTCTAACCCTAACCCTAAAACCAAGTCTTACAGGAATAGTTCATCCAAAAATGATAATTCACTCATTCTCTCCTCACCACTATGCCGATGGAGGGTTGGGTGAAGTGTTACAGTCCACAAACTGATATCTGATATCCTCTTCTGGAGCCGTGTTCGTGCTTGGATCACAGAGAACATTTAGGTCAAAGGTTGTATTGGAAATTTCTCTTTTTTGTGTATGCAAATTGCATGAGCAGACATGTATGTGGAGAACTGACCTAATTGTTTATCTAAAAGAGCCACTTTAGGTTTACGATGATTGCTTAAGAGACTTAATTTTATGGCCTTGAGAAACCACAACTTTATGGTATCTCTTGGTATCTCTGGTTGGGATCTCACATTTGGGGTCTCACTCTGGGGGTCTTCCACAAACATGTAAACATGTAAAGACAGAATGTCTCCTCCATTGAGTGAAACTACAGGAGGGTAATAAATACCTTTGCATGCTTAGTGGGAGGGGGCTGTGAGTTATACGTACAAAGATTCTCCTCTGTTCTTTGCTCATTTGTGCATGTCATTCAGGTGATGTGTACTGTGAGTCCATCTGCAGATGCTGAATTAAACTTACAGAAAGAAGTGTTTGACTTAGTACTTGTTTTACAGAAATTGCCACCACAAGGTGTAAATGACTTCGCTTCAAGTTTGATTAGAATGTCAGGGTTTATGGACACTTGGATGTCAGGGAATATGGAGACATTTTCTGTTTTTTCTGTTGTTTTTTTAAGCTTGAAGAAGTGGTCACCATTTTCTTCAATTGTATTGGATTTGGCTGAAACACTGTTTACCCCTGAAACTCCAAGTGTTTTGTGGACTCTAACACTTCACCCTCCCCTCCATCACCACAGTGGTGAGTTGATAATGTCTGAATTTTCATTTTTGGGTGAACTCTCCCTCTAACTCCCATTTGTGAGGACCAGCAAAAATGTCAAAATGTCCTCACAGTAGTGCAGTTTCCATGTACATACTGTATTTCCACATGCTGTTTTTCCAGATTCACATAAGATCACTGTGACCTTTCACCACTGAAATTTAATCACTCCCAGGGACTCTTGAGATATCATTTAAGAAGGCAAAAACATGTTTTTAGACCTCAAGTGAATATTTGTACCAAACAGCTTGTGACTGCAAAAAACAAATCATTGCAATGGAGCAAAAATGAAATTGTAGATGTTCGTCAGCACCAATCATTTTTTATTTTGGCAGTTTGGGAAAAAAAATCTTTAATTTGCATATTTTTATGTTAATCATTGTAGATTAGCTGGAGGAATTACCAGCACACATCAGTGCCACTACATTGATGCATCATCACAACCATGTCACCTGATGCCTGCAACACCTTTAGATGACACCTAGAGAGAACTTCATTAACATTTCATTGTGCCAATCATGAGTTCATCAATAGAAATACTTGATTCACATTCGAAAGTACTTGTACATGTTAAGCTGTATTGGCCAGTCAAACACATAAACATGTATTTGACTGGCCAATACAGCTTAAAGTTGCGTAAAATTATACTTTAGACTTTTTATTTAACTGTAGAGATCAACACAAATAGGCACATTTTAACACAGGCAACCAACAGGTTGGACAGTACAACACATTAAACTAAAGCATTTATTTATTTATCGGTTTGTTTTTGTCATAGCCCTCTGCATTTGCAAAAATTCGGTGTATGCTAAATTTTATATTAATCTATTCAACTCTGTGTACCGTTCAATCTACCACTTGTCTGTCTTTTATAGTTTTGCGTGATCTCTATCTTTCTATTGTTACCTATATTGTTTAGGGTACAGCTGATTTAACAGTCGGCCGAATCGACTGATATCAGACTTGTTCGGGACATGAGTCTGGTGACTCAAAATTTGAACTTGAGTGAAATCTCTGAGGGTTTTGGGAATTGAACGTTTTGGGGACTAATTTTCCACAATGATGTGAAGTGAAAGATCTTACTGTACGTGAGTGTGAAGTTGCCCGGACTGTTTGAGCTGCCCCTGCCTCACTGCACCTTCCTGCTACTTCTGCAACTCCTGGATCCCCAACCCTAATCCTATGTCTCTCAGCAGAGGGCGGGCACACTCAGAGCCAAGGTTAAGCTTGTGAATGTGGGGACACCTAAATCTCTGCTGCTCCTGACTCAAACTAAATGAATATCTGCCTTTGTGAGGGGAAATTACAGTCCCCAACACACCTGCTTCCCCTCTGCCTCCTTCAGGCACAGATTTATTTGCCCTCTCCTCTCTCATTTCTAACCAAAAGGTTTTCAACAGCCCTTTCGCCCGTGTAGGCGGCGATTAGAGAACCATTTTTCACCTCTCAGAGATAATTAACATATTGGATTTATAATGGTTAATATATGCACAGTGTTTCAATGGCTCTCATTAAACACCATATATTTGCAAGTGAGAGGATGATTGAGCTGTAGTTCTAAACATTTGACGCTTTTCAAGCTCGGCTGTTGAACACATGTACCCGCATTTAGAAGAAGTGATGACGATGCAGTGGGAGAGAAGCACATAGACACATACATGCTGTGATATAAATGTGTTGTAAGGCAGAGAAGAGCAGTGGAGGCCAGAAGTACTGTTGAGCTTTGTGCACAGTATCCACTAGATGGCGATGACACTCTAACAATCAGATCAACACAATGGAAGGAAGCAGCAATTTGCACAAAAGCATCAGTCTCATTAGTCAGTGTATCTTTAATGTGAAGGAGCAGGAGGCTTGTTTAAATGATGGGAACATTCAGAGTGAAGAGGAGGGACCACTGGAGCGCCGAGTTAATGATGGCACACCAGCCTGGATTACCGGCCATGTATAGAATGGGGAGGATGAACAGTACTGTAATTGCTTTCTGTCATTGTGGCTCTGAAGTAGACTCAGAGGGAAGTCTTTACTCTGAGGCTGCACTGATGACAAGCCGGCGAGGCAGGGGGTTAGAGGGCCCCCCCCAAAAAAACCCACAATTAAGAGTGATTTTTTCTATATTAGCCCACAGTGTGACATCCACAGTCTGTGTTTATCCTGCAAGTTGAATCACCGGATTGTTGTAATCCTCAATGCATTCATTCAGCATCCGCCTAAAGGATCTCGCTCTTCCTATACCAGGCTCCTATACTTTGCAGCAGTTCATGACCCCTCATCATGGGCAGCCTTCTCAGACTGAATTCTCCAATGACAGGCTGCAGTGGAATGCAGTTACATTAAATGTACTCAAACACTGTACTGAAATAACAATATGGTAATTGTAGTTCATTGTGTATTCACATTTTAAACTATTTCATAATTCAGAGGAAAACCTTGTACAATTTAATTAAACTTAGATTTTAAACAGATACACTTATGATAAAAAATATATGGAATAAACTACCAAACAATGTATAAAAGTGAATTATCTTCACCTCAACCCAATAAATGTGTATGATGTATTTTAATAAAAATTTAAACACATAAGCTTATTATGTTAGATGAAAAAATTATATATAATTAAGTTATTGCAATAATAATCCAGATATGTAATATACAATGTATGAAATAACTGACAGGCTCCATAGCACTGTATAATGAGTTATTATACTGTTGATACTTTATTTTGCTGGTAATTATTTTGTAGTTTTATTTTGTAATATTTAGAAATTGTTTTTTTAAATCTCATTTTAATTATATTATATACTTTTACTAAGTTTAGCAACATGGATCCTTCAACCAACGATTACAACTGATTTCTTGTTAAAAGGTCTTGACCTCCAGGTTGGGGACTGAAACATTGCTTAAAAAAAATACAATTCTCTGGCAGCTTAACCACAGAACGAGCACAGATTTAAGGTTTAGGGGGGTGGTAGGTGGGCTGCCTGAGCTCACCGCAAAATTATATATAGACTTCCTGCTCCTTTTCTTCAAACCCACTATGAGACGCACTCTAGGAGCTGCATTTTGGCGAGGTTGAGACTCAAGAGTTTGACAGA